TAATCACTTGACAACAAGACCAGTCTATGCCATAGTCCGGTCTAGTATAATCACTTGACAACAAGACCAGTCTATGCCTTAGTCCGGTCTAGTAAAATCATCTGGTTCCTTTGGCCTTTTATAAGATTGTTGTACATGATGTCCTACTAACACAAATTGTTCTACTTGATGTGCTACGTGGTTACCACATGACGTGTGTGGTTGTTACCACGGGATGTGTGGTTGTTACCTTAATATTTCCTCAGTGGAGAAATGTGATGACAACATTTTTGTTATGTCTTGTAAGATACTGTTATGTCGCCAGTAAATAAAATACAAAAGAACGGTAATACTGTAACCGAAACTCTATTGACATATGGCAAATACATTTTGTGTTTCTAAATTTGTGTTTCCATTTTATATTTTTACATTGTTACAGAATAAAAAGAAAATCAGATTTATAAATCTTTCCCAGTCATTGACAATGTATTGATATAAATAAAACTCAGCTCTTTGGTTAACTATTGTCACGTGACATCTGTATTTGTTCTAGTCACTTTACTTGAAACGGACGTAAATGAACCTTTTTTTCAACTTTTAGTTCATATTGCAAAAAAAGAAACATGATGTCTCAAAAGGTTGAGATCAAAATTTTGAGGTTTTTTTTATCTTTTGTTGAGTGAGTTATTTCTGTGTCATGTTATATTTTTCTGAACTAGAAGTGCAATTTTGCAACATAAAATATCACAAAATCAATAAAATTGATGATATATTAAAATTTCATGCATAATTTTGTAATTACGGAACTTGTGATAGTTTCTATGTGTTCTCTGTATTTATAAAACTAGATCTATCTTTTTAATAATTTTATTGAAAGAAAAAAAAAACAACGGTCGACAAGAATAAAAATTAACAGGGTAAAATGTAAGCTATTAAAATAAGGCTATTATTATTTATTGATTACTATGTTGGCCAGGCAAGATCGAACTAAAACAATTTAAAATACATCCATGTAATAGGGTAGGCCATTAATTTAAAATAAACCGGAAGTGATCTCCCCTAAACGTTCTCGAATTTTCTTATATAACTTGGAATATAGACATGATTTTTAATAACTTAAACTTTTAAAAATAGAATAGAATCTCATAGAAAAAAGAATTACGCACCAAGCGAACACAAAAAAAAAATGAGAATAATAGTGCGCAATATTATTAGTACTTTATAAATTTACATGCGTTTTTAGAGAAATCGGAAATAGCGTAAATTAGTACTTCCGGTCAACGGAAATTACTCAAAATATGACAGAAATATTTTAGAGAATTAGATCTTTTACTTAAATGTGAAGTTTCATTTATCTATCTAAAATAGTACTCAAGTTATAGGCTTTTGAAGATTCAAAGTAGAAAAAGTACCACTTCCGATTATCGGAAATCGCTCAAAAGTTGATCAGGATCAACGATTTTGATAAAATACTTATATATGAAATTTCATCAACCTAGCTGTAACGGTACTCAAGTAAACGTGTTTACACACAGACAAACAGACAGACAGACAGACAGACAGACACACACACACACACAGACACACAGACATGCGGACAAGATTGCAAAATTATGTTTTTCCGTATCAGTGAGGTGTAAAACGTCGAGATTTGTAAAAATCTCGATTTTTTTTGCACGGTTACAAGACTTTCTCTATGCTTCGTATAATCGAGAAAAGAAATAAACCGGGAGTGATCTCCCCTAAAATTTCTCAAATATTCTTATATAAAACAACAGGGGATAGGAACTCGGGCTATAGACATGATTTTTAATCCATTTTAAATACTTAAAGTTTTAAAAATAGAATAAAATATCGTAGACAAAAGAAATGTACACCAAGTGAACGCCAAATAAAAACGTGCATAATAGTGCGCAATATTATTAGTACTTTAAAAATTTTAATAAATTTTTTGAGAAATCGGAAGTAGCGTAAATTACTACTTCCAGTCAACGGAAATTTCTCAAAATTTAACAGAAGGTAGAGATTTATATCTTTTACTTACGTGTGAAATTTAATTTCATTTATCTATCTGAAATAGTACTCAAGTTATAGGCTTTTGAAAAATTCAGAGTAGAAAAAGTACCACTTCCGGTTATCGGAAATCGCTCAAAAGTTGATACGGATCTACGATTTTGATAAAATACTTAAATATGAAATTTCATCAACCTAGCTGTAACGGTACTCAAGTTATCGTGTTTACACACGGACACACAGACAGACACACAGACACACAGACATACGGACAGAATTGCAAAGCCCAGTTTTTCAGACTGGATTACGCATAAAACCTCTTAATTTTGATAAATCTGGATTGATAATTTTTGCCCGATTAAAATAAGTCCTCTATACTTCGGATGTGATGAAGGACTGAGGTGTAATACGGTGAAAATTGTTAAAATTTCAAGTGATTTTTGTGCACGATTACAATACTTTCTCTATACTTCGTATATACGAGAAAGTAAAAAACGAAAATTCGAAAACCATTGAAAAAATAATATTGGAATTTCCGTTCAATGATAAAAATAAAGTAGTGATGAAACCCCCGAAGTCTAAAAATAGTTAAATATGTAATAATACCGTCAGGATTTCCCGAACGCATTATCATCCCCAAGAGCAGACCTGAAACCAGTTCAAGAAAGACCTGGTCAATGGTGTTGTAAGAGTAAGTTAATCTGTTGTTTTTTTTTTTGGTTCAGCATTACCATTTTAACAAAACGTTTAAATTATAAGATAAAATCTGAATAACATTGTGGAAATTAAATAAATTAGATTTTCTTTGTTGCATTTTTTGTGAGTCCATGTCATCCACACCACCCTCATCTCGCCCCCACAGAATTGAAATTTTTGAAACTCTTCGTCATCTGTCGTGTTGACATTCCCGTTGGAAGTGAATAAATATTGATCTAATGTTATTACAAGCTTTACAAATTAACTTCAAGTATTGCAATTTATTATTGCAATGATTAATTTGATTAGAGTACACATTCGTCATTCGCGGAGAAAAATTATTGGAATATTCGACAGTTGTTAATGGATCTAGATCTATATAGATCTAAATTATTGTATTGTCATCCGACGTAGATTTTTAAAATATTCTTTTGAGACATTATTTTAAGACTTATTTTAAAAAGGCTTTTGACATTTAAATATTTAATTATAACAAGAAGTTTTAGACTAGATTTAGATTCTTGATTTGATCTTAAAATACTAACGTGTATCTGGCTAGTATTGATGTCATAACATCTCGGCGTAACTGCATTGAACAAGTTATTTCAAGAACTTTCACAAAAAAATCAAATATTTCTTACGTTATCGTAAAATAAAGACTAGATTCTACGTGTGCTGCATTTTTAAAACAAGATTTACATCTAGATCTAGCCTATATCTACACTACAAAATACGACAAACAACAATTTAGCTATTTTGATCGACAATTTAATAACACGATATTTACAGTATCGAATACGTTGCCGCTGCTGTTTGCGTGCTTCAGATCTCAGCAGACGACAACAGACAACAATATTAAATGTTAGGTTTTCAAAATATTTAGTAGAATCTAGATCTATTTTAATTTTTAATGAATTGTGTGTGTGTGTGTGCCAAACTTTCAAAGATCCTGATCTAGACACAACTCAATCTGTCGTTCATTTACTCTAGATCTAGACTATGACTAGCCCTTATTTTTAATATTTAGAATTCTACCCACAGTCGTACAGAGAGTACACTGGCTACTGCACCTTGATTCTCAGTCTCTACTTTCAAACTACTTTCAAGATGTCGAGATCTAGATTCTAGATCTACTACTCTACACAGTCTACTATAGAATCTAGTTCTAGAATCTAGTCGTCTAGAACATATTAATAGTTCTAGATCTAGGTCTAAAGCCTAAATTTTAAATTATTAGCCTAAATTTATCTAAATAGGCCTAATCTAGTCTAGATTAGATTGCAAGATACAGATAGGATCTGAATAAAAAGGAAATAATGCTAGTCACTCATGTCTAGACATGTAGTTGTAAGCCACTGCACAGCTGTTAGACTTCTATTTCCAGATTCTATAACATTAATAGGCAGGAAATCCCCCAGTATAGCATGGAAGTTATCCAGTAATGTTTGTTGAGTTTAATTAACATTAGTTACTAGTGTAAACCGTGATTTATTTTTACGGTTGAAATATAATATAGATCTAGTCAATGTACTAAATTAATGTTTGAACTTTATGTTTAATCAACACTCGGAAACAGAAATAAATAGGCCCTAGTTATAAATATAAATAATAAAGTGAAGTGTAGTAATTAGTTTAATGTTGTTTTTTTTAAAGACAGAAATAAAAATCTTGCAGAGGATTTGCACTAATCAATTTAGAATTAGATCTAGATCTAGTAAAAATGATTGCGCAAATATAAAAATGGCTAATAGAACAATATTTAGTAACAGCAATAATTATCAGGAATGCTTAAAAATAATTAGCAATACAAAATGAATAGCAAAACAGTATTCAACATGCAAAAAATTAATCCATCCAATTTTTTTAATGTTCAATATTAAAAATAAAAGATGGTGCCAAATCAAGTATGGTTTACAGTACTCCCGGTACATTGCTATAGACTAATCTTTGTTTTATTGTTTTTTAACTGCTATACCATTCCGAAATAATAATAGACGCTAAACTGTGGTATTATGAATAGGCCTGTATATCTAACTCGTTTATTATATTGCAACACTTATTAATCCAGTTGTAATTAGATATGAATAAAGATTATATCTAGATAAATATATAGAATCTAGATCTGACTAACTCTATCTATCCAGTCTACAAAATCACCACACCTGCAAAATTTTATATTAAGAAACCAAGTTAGGGCAATTAATTAGAGTTTAGAATAGAGCATACATTGTTAATCTAGATTTGTTAATACATGTAATCCTATATTCTAAAGTTATGAAGGTATGTAATAGCATGCATGTCTTTTTATCAAGGTGTATGAAGGAGAAACATATGGACAGTAGAATCACCCATCAATAGGGCTATAAAGACATAATTTTGTTATTCAAAGGATAGAAACATATGGACAGTGGAATCACCCATCAATAGGGCTATAAAGACATAACTTTGTTATTCAAAGGATCCAATTTGAGGTTTGTGTTGAAGCCTGCATTATTTTAATTCATTCAATAGAATTTGATCTAGCATTTTAATAGACCACATATTTTTAAAGTCAACTTTGATTACATCTTAGAAAACGTATTTACAATTTAGTCAATAAGTTTGTGTCTCTTTTGTAGGTTTAAATTTCAGAATCACATTAAGATGTGCTTGAAACTGAATTTTTTCCATTATTTCACATTTAAAATAATTGTAATAGAAGAAATATTCTAAGCTTCAATAGGTTGAAGGTATTTTAGTATAAAATCTCTTAATAATAAAAAAATTACAAGGTTGAGGTGTGATATCATTTTAAGGGGGGGGGGTGGAATCTGGCGTGGAAGACAATTGATAGATGTCAGATAAATATATAAATGTGAGACAATTAAAAGCCACATTTTAAACATTTTAAAGTTGACATTAGCTAAAACTAAAACATTATTTATAGAAGAAAAGCACAAGTAATGTGAGTTTTAAGATTATTTACTTGATATTGTTATGAAAATAATTTTATTGCCTATAGCTTCTTCTTTTTCTGTGTTCTTATTTGAGTTTATCTAGCTGATAACTAAGTGAAAAAAAAAAACAAATTGACACAAAAATAATAAAGCTTTTATGAAAAAGACATATAGTTTGTCTTCACATCACCAGAATAGAATCTGAACTCATCCATAAAGTTGACTTAAATGATGATAACTTTTGTAACAAAATCATAATAATGTAAGTTTATTTTACAATAATTTTTCTTATTGCAGGTAAAGTTGTCAGAGATGGGAAATAAAGGTGGGAAGAATAAAGAAAATCAGTTGGCAGAGAAAGGTAAAATAAATGTTTCTAGGCAACATGTTTTGTATTTGCTGTAAATGTTTAGAACATCCCAGTTGTTTTACAAATAGAGAAATGTTTTATTTACTGGTATAGGTTTGTGTTTAATCTAATTGAAACCTTGATGTTAAATTGTTTTATTTACTGGTATAGGTTTGTGTTTAATCTAATTGAAACCTTGATGTTCAAATGTTTTATTTACTGATATAGGTTTGTGTTTAATCTAATTGAAACCTTGATGTTGAATTGTTTTAGGTCTAACACATAGACAAGATGAGACAACACAGTTAGAAGAAAGACAAGATGAGACAACACAGTTGGAAGAAAAAAAAACTGAAGGAGATTTTATCCCAGGTGAGTCTCAGAGTGTGTGAAATATGTATGAAAAATGTAAGAAGTTAAATTTATACAGATTTGCTGGGCACATGATTACATTACTTACAGCTAATACTCTATCTGAGTCTGTTGACAACTGGTGGTTACTTAAATGTTTATTTGGCAGGCAATATTTAACACATGATACCTGTAAACTCTACTTCAGCTATTTAAAAAAATTAAAAATGAGAAGTTTTTGTTAATTTTTATACTTGCACTTTTGTTTGCCAAGTACCTTATTTTAAATAGATTTAAATTTGTATTTTTTAAAAATATGGATTCCCTCCCCTTGTACATCTCCAGGACATCATGAAGCCGAGATCTGCTATGGAGGTGAAGCTGACTTACACAAGCACTATAACAGGTGTAAGAAGAATCCAGGTCATGTCAACTTTATACCTGTTAATGATTTTAACTTGGATCATCTCCCTTTACGTTACCGTGATGTCATCATGTTGGAGCTAATGAAAGCTTTGTCTGCCCTAACGGTCCTGATAAAGGTCAAGTACACAAGTCTAGAGAGACCAAAGTCTGTTCCATGCTTCAGTGGTCAGTATCCATTTTATAACACCAGAGGAAGTGACGTGTTGAGGACAGGGACGGGGAGGGTGTGGCGTGTGGTCAAGTACACAGAGAGTGCCAACATGGGCACTTGTCCATGTGGCAAGTGTCAACACTCGGACACACCCAGCAAAGTGTGGGGGAAGGTTTATGTGTTGACAGCCAGACACGTGGTGTTTGATGACAGTGAGGCGAGACAGACCAGGTGTGTTGTAGGTTTTGATGACAATAAAAGTCCTGGGGTCAGTCTTGATGGCTGGGGGGCGGGGAAGGCAGACATTGAGGGAGACAGGTGTGTGTTTACATGTGTGTCATGTGACTTAGAGTTGCTTGATGAACTGTACAAGATGTGGCAGCAGTTTGATGGTCTATGTTGGAAAGTAAGGGACAAATACTGGAGACTTTTTGATGTGGACAAGTTGACCGTTATAGTGTCACATCCTCATGGCTGTCCTAAACAGGTCTCTGTAGGACAATGGACACACGAACATGTGAGGGGAGATTGGTACAAGTACACGTACACAACATGTACATGTCCAGGCTCCAGTGGAGCGTATGTCTACATGCCGAGATATAGCGGGTGGTGGTTGTCACGTCCCCACAGTGGATCAAACTCTGAAGGAAATTATAGTGGGGAGGATGAGATGTATTGATCCATCTGTAACTGTTGGTTCTCTCCCCTTGTCTAATGTAACTGTTGGTTCTCTCCCCTTGTCTAATGTAACTGTTGGTTCTCTCCCCTTGTCTAATGTAAACAAACAAAATGGCGGCTCCCTTCATTAAACTTGTGTGTGTCAAAACTTAAATGTCTTCATCAGCAACTTTGTGTTCTGGTGAAGACAAGAAATAAATTGTTTGGTTTCTTTCAGTCATTTGTTAAGAGTTGTTAGACACATAAACAAAATTATAAACAAATGTTTATTTCAATAAAGTGTGTTGCATGCTATTGTATATTTAAATATATTAATTACTATAGAAGATTATTGATTTGTTATAAGCCTACTGATGATTTTAATCTGTGCAGATGTCAATAAAATTTTAGATTTCAAAGTTTCTTTCATTCATTTTTTTATCGTTGATAATCTTAATGTTTTGTGTTGATGATAAACAAAACACGATGGTAGTGAAGAGAAATGTCGGCAGTCAAGTTTGTAGCTGAGACTTAATGTCGGCAGTAAAGTTTGTAGCTGTGACTTAATGTCGGCAGTCAGAGACTTAATGTCGGCAGCCAAGTTTGTAGCTGAGACTTAATGTCGGCAGTCTAGTTTGTAGCTGAGACTTAATGTCGGCAGTCAGAGACTTAATGTCGGCAGTCAAGTTTGTAGCTGAGACTTAATGTCGGCAGTCAAGTTTGTAGCTGAGACTTAATGTCGGCAGTCTAGTTTGTAGCTGAGACTTAATGTCGGCAGTCAAGTTTGTAGCTGAGACTTAATGTCGGCAGTCAAGTTTGTAGCTGAGACTTAATATCGGCAGTCAAGTTTGTAGCTGAGACTTAATGTCGGCAGTCAAGTTTGTAGCTGAGACTTAATGTCGGCAGTCAAGTTTGTAGCTGAGACTTAATGTCGGCAGTCAAGTTTGTAGCTGAGACTTAATGTCGGCAGTTAAGTTTGTAGCTGAGACTTAACGTCGGCAGTCAAGTTTGTAGTTGACTTGATGTCGGCAGTCTAGTTTGTAGCTGAGACTTAATGTCGGCAGTCAGAGACTTAATGTCGGCAGTCAAGTTTGTAGCTGAGACTTAATGTCGGCAGTCAAGTTTGTAGCTGAGACTTAATGTCGGCAGTCTAGTTTGTAGCTGAGACTTAATGTCGGCAGTCAGAGACTTAATGTCGGCAGTCAAGTTTGTAGCTGAGACTTAATGTCGGCAGTCAAGTTTGTAGCTGAGACTTAATGTCGGCAGTCAAGTTTGTAGCTGAGACTTAATGTCGGCAGTCAAGTTTGTAGTGGAGACTTAATGTCGGCAGTCAAGTATGTAGTTGACTTAATGTCGGCAGTCAAGTTTGTAGCTGAGAATGTCGGCAGTCAAGTTTGTAGCTGAGACTTAAAGTCGGCAGTCAACTTTGTAGCTGAGAATGTCGGGAGTCAAGTTTGTAGCTGAAACTTAATGTCGGCAGTCAAGTTTGTACTTAATATCGGCAGTCAAGTTTGTAGCTGAGACTTAATATCGGCAGTAAAGTTTGTAGCTGAGACTTAATGTCTGCAGTCAAGTTTGTAGCTGAGACTTAATGTCGACAGTCAAGTTTGTAGCTGAGACTTAATGTCGGCAGTCAAGTTTGTAACTGAGACTTAATGTCGGCAGTCAAGTTTGTAGCTGAGACTTAATGTCGGCAGTCAAGTTTGTAGCTGAGACTTAATGTCGGCAGTCAAGTTTGTACCTGAGACTTAATGTCGGCAGTCAAGTTTGTAACAGAGACTTTATGTCAGCAGTCAAGTTTGTAGCTGAGACTTAATGTCGGCAGTCAAGTTTGTAGCTGAGAATGTCGGCAGTCAAGTTTGTAGCTGAGACTTAATGTCGGCAGTTAAGTTTGTAGCTGAGACTTAATGTCGGCAGTCAAGTTTGTAACTGAGAATGTCGGCAGTCAAGTTTGTAGCTGAAACTTAATGTCGGCAGTCAAGTTTGTATTTAATATTGGCAGTCAAGTTTGTAGGTGAGACTTAATGTCGGCAGTCAAGTTTGTAGTTGAGACTTAATGTCGGCAGTCAAGTTTGTAGCTGAGACTTAATGTCGGCAGTCAAGTTTGTAACTGAGACTTTATGTCGGCAGTCAAGTTTGTAGCTGAGACTTAATGTCGGCAGTCAAGTTTGTAGCTGAGAATGTCGGCAGTCAAGTTTGTAGCTGAGACTTAATGTCGGCAGTCAAGTTTGTAGCTGAGACTTAATGTCGGCAGTCAAGTTTGTATCGACTTCATGTCGGCAGTCAAGTTTGTAGCTGAGACTTAATGTCGGCAGTCAAGTTTGTAGTTGAGACTTTATGTCGGCAGTCAAGTTTGTAGCTGAGACTTAATGTCGGCAGTCAAGTTTGTAGCTGAGACTTAATGTCGGCAGTCAAGTTTGTACCTGAGACTTAATGTCGGCAGTCAACTTTGTAACTGAGACTTTATGTCGGCAGTCAAGTTTGTAGCTGAGAAAGTCGGCAGTCAAGTTTGTAGCTGAGACTTATGTCGGCAGTGAAGTTTGTAGTTGAGACTTAACAATTGAAACCAAGTCTATAGCTGAAATATTGATACGACATTGCATCTTACAATATTTTAAAAACGATTTTCTTTAAATTTTCAGGTAATTATATTTTTTTCAATACGCGACATTAGTCCTTAAAAAAACGATTGGTTAACTAGAAATAATGATACCTAACTTCCTTGGTCTTTATGTTTAGTATTGTGTAGAAGTCCTAGCTAGGTCATGCAAATGCGATTGAAAAAGTACCCGTTGAGGTTTTTGTTTCGCCACTGCTCAAAGAACTTTAAATGTCACATGACTAGAATTTTAAAATACTGAGGATTTAAAGTTGAAAACATCGGAAACTTGAAGGAGGCAACTGCGTCAGAAATAACTTGCCAATTAATTTTATAATTCTTTCTCTTTGACCAAAAATCGTATTAAGCAGAAGACATTAAAAATATGAATGTTAAAGAGCATTGGTTACCAAAGTGTGGGTTGTGACCCCAGTGGGTTTCGTGGGGGGAGGGGGAGGGGTCACCAACTGGTAGACTAAACTCCAGCAATGAAAAACAAACCATATAGATTTAGAAGAATATGTGAACTTCGGCTTTACCAACCTCACTGTAACTGGAATAGAGATGAAACAATGTGCGCTGTGCTAGGTTATTCTCAGTCATGAGTATGAAACATTCAAAACAGAAACTTCATTTTGAGACGAGCCATTCGGAGCACACAAAAAGAGATGTGGAGTTCTCTCGTCGGCATGAAGCTAGTTGCAAAGGCGACTGGACATTGTGCTGACCACAGTTCACTTTATCTGCCGTGGTCACTGAAACTCTATTTCACCTGCCTCATGCACTGCCAGATCCTTAGGGTACTAGCCGGGACATTTGAGCCAACAAGATGTAGCAGGTAGTAACAACACCGGCTAAATGCCAGACTGCGACATTATTGAGAGAAATGTTAAAATACAAAACAGACTACAGCACTGTGTGGAGCTGTCGTTAGAGTAAAGTTCATGTCGTTAAAGTAAAGTTCATGTCGTTAGAGTAAAGTTCATGTCGTTAGAGTAAAGTTCATGTCGTTAGAGTAAAGTTCATGTCGTTAGAGTAAAGTTCATGTCGTTAGAGTAAAGTTCATGTCGTTAGAGTAAAGTTCATGTCGTTAGAGTAAAGTTCATGTCGTTAGAGTAAAGTTCATGTCGTTAGAGTAAAGTTCATGTCGTTAAAGTAAAGTTCATGTCATTAGAGTAAAGTTCATGTCGTTAGAGTAAAGTTCATGTCGTTAGAGTAAAGTTCATGTCATTAGAGTAAAGTTCATGTCGTTAGAGTAAAGTTCATGTCGTTAAAGTAAAGTTCATGTCATTAGAGTAAAGTTCATGTCGTTAGAGTAAAGTTCATGTCGTTAAAGTAAAGTTCATGTCATTAGAGTAAAGTTCATGTCGTTAGAGTAAAGTTCATGTCGTTAGAGTAAAGTTCATGTCGTTAGAGTAAAGTTCATGTCGTTAGAGTAAAGTTCATGTCGTTAGAGTAAAGTTCATGTCGTTAAAGTAAAGTTCATGTCATTAGAGTAAAGTTCATGTCGTTAGAGTAAAGTTCATGTCGTTAGAGTAAAGTTCATGTCGTTAGAGTAAAGTTCATGTCGTTAGAGTAAAGTTCATGTCGTTAGAGTAAAGTTCATGTCGTTAGAGTAAAGTTCATGTCGTTTGAGTAAAGTTCATGTCGTTAGAGTAAAGTTCATGTCGTTAGAGTAAAGTTCATGTCGTTAGAGTAAAGTTCATGTCGTTAGAGTAAAGTTCATGTCGTTAGAGTAAAGTTCCCGTCGTTAGAGTAAAGTTCATATCGTTAGAGTAAAGTTCATGTCGTTAGAGTAAAGTTCATGTCGTTAGAGTAAAGTTCATGTCGTTAGAGTAAAGTTCATGTCGTTAGAGTAAATTTCCCCTCTCTCAGTGTCTGATGTCATATATGAACGACCAGAGGGAATGACTAATACTAATTATGCGTGGACCTTATGTCACTAGTTGTGTACTATGTTGAAATTTTAAACAACAATGTAGGCTTAGTAGGTACATCATTTTCAAGGAAATAGATTTTGTTTACTGAATGAACGGAGTAAGAAAAGTCAAGTAGCAGAAAAGCAGCGGATATTCCCGCAATGACGTCATGTGTTGTTACTATTAATAGAACCACCCATATCTCCGTAATTTTCCGACAGCTGAGCGAGGGAAACTCAATTGTTGTCAGTGTGTGCTACACGACGTTTCGACGTCAGGTCTCCGTCAACTTGTTTACAAATTGGCCCGATATATTTCACGCTGGAGTTATTATGACAGGCTGATCCACATTTGCTGCAGCAGAGAAAATCTCAAACTGTGAAAAGTGAGTCTGTGCTTTTTGTTTATTTACAATTAGTGTGCATTTATTTTAATTAATTAATTAATTAATATCAACGTGTGTATTTTGTCTGTGCAAGCTTGATGTCATCCACCGTTAACTAGGTATGTTAAAAATAATTCATGGGCAATATGTTAACTGATATGGATACTTTCGTTAAACGCCTACACATTTGCTGTGTATGTTGCTATGTGTAAATACAATGATCGCAAAAATCGATACTGCCATTCAGGAATTAGAATCTAGGTTTAGATAGAGAAGAAAGAGTAGTGAATAAAAACATTGATGTCAGCTTTATTAGTTTTATTAGATCTGGTTTATGTGTGTCAAATGTGTACTGGCTGGGAGCTGTGTCTGACACAGCAACTGATGCAGCACACACGAGTCGCCGTGTTGACCTACTACACACCAAGATGCTCCCAGAACGATCGATAAAATAGTTCGCTAGCGCCAGTTGTCGATATACGGCTGGTGCCGTGTTATGGACAACACAAGAGAGTGTCTTG